GGGGGGGGGGGGGCAACCTTGACAGAAGGAACAGCAAATACGGTGGCAGATAAGGGCCTGACAGAGTTTGGGAACGCTGTGAAGATTCCCTGTCCTTTCCATCCCTCCACCTACGGCTGCCTAAGTTCAAAATTAGATAGACAACTAATAATTTCAAAATATGTCCAAACACTGCGCGCTCTGGGCTCCCTTCAATTCATCCCAGCCGGTCCCGGGGCCCACAAACCTGTGGGTAACCCGCGAGCCGGCGAGTAAAGCGGGAGAAACTATCACGTTTAATTCCTCTCCATGTTTCACGCTCCGGTCTCCTGCCCCGGCCCGAGGCATGCAGCCCGCAGCTCCACTTCAGGGGTCGGGCCCTGCCGACTGCAGTCAGGGCGGGGGAACGAGGGGCCACTCACACACGAAAGCCCAGCTCCCCTCGGCGAAAGGCCAGCCAGGCAAGCGGAAGACGCCTTTCCCATGGACCAGAAGTCCCGCCCCCTCCGGAGGAGGACCGAGAGCTAGGCAGCCAATCCAGAGGACGGTAGTTCTCCGACTAGGGTGACTGACAACCAGGCCTGGGCTCGCGACCGGAAGCAGCAGGGGGCGGGGCTTCAAGCCGGAAGTGCTCGCCGGCGGTGTGGATTAGAAGCTTAGCTGGGGGCGGAGATGCGCCGGCCGCCGCCGGCGAGGAGTCGGGTGGAGGGTGAGCGACCCGCAGGCAGCTTGGCGCTGGGGCGCGGCGGCCGGTGCGCAGTGAGACCATGGGCCCGACCAAGCCCTGGGGGGAGTGGTTCCTGAGCCTGCGGGTGCCCCCCGCCGGCGTGTTCGGTGTGGCCTTCCTCGCCCGAGTCGCCCTGGTTTTCTACGGGCTCTTCCAGGACCGGACCCTGCTCGTGAGGTACACGGACATCGACTACCACGTTTTCACGGACGCCGCGCGTTTCGTCACGGAGGGGCGCTCCCCGTACCTGAGGGCGACCTACCGTTACACTCCCCTGCTGGGCTGGCTCCTCACTCCCAACGTCTACCTCAGCGAACTCTTCGGCAAGTTTCTCTTCATCAGCTGCGACCTCCTCACGGCGTTGGTGCTGTACCGCCTGCTGCTGCTCAAGGGGCTGGGTCGCCGCCAGGCTTGCGGTTACTGCGCGTTTTGGCTTCTCAACCCCCTCCCCATGGCGGTGTCCAGCCGAGGCAACGCGGACTCGATCGTCGCCTCGCTGGTGCTGATGGCCCTGTACCTAATAGAAAAAAGAGTGGTGGCGGGTGCCGCGGTGTTCTATGGCTTCGCCGTGCACATGAAGCTGTACCCGGTCACCTACATCCTCCCCATAGCCCTCCGCCTGCGCCCGGAACGCGCCCGGGACGGAAGCCTCCGCCCGCCCGGGCAGTCCCTCCAGGCTCGCTTTTCCGAATTCCTCAGGAGGCTCTGCAGTCGGGCTGTGCTGCTCTTCGTGGCAGTCTCTGGACTCACGTTTTTCGCCCTGAGTTTCGGCTTTTACTGTAAATATGGTTGGGAATTTTTGGAGCACACCTACCTGTATCACCTGACGAGGCGGGATATACGTCACAACTTTTCCCCCTACTTCTACATGCTGTATTTGACCGCCGAGAGCAAGTGGAGCTTTTCCCTGGGAATTGCTGCCTTCCTGCCACAGTTCATCTTGCTTTCAGCGGTGTCTTTCGCCTATTACAGAGACCTTGCCTTTTGCTGCTTTCTTCATACGGCCATTTTTGTGACCTTTAACAAAGTCTGCACGTCGCAGTACTTTCTTTGGTACCTCTGCCTACTGCCCCTTGTGATGCCACTAGTGAGGATGCCTTGGAAAAGAGCTGTAGTTCTCCTAATGCTGTGGTTTATAGGGCAGGCCTTATGGCTGGCACCTGCCTATGTTCTTGAGTTTCAAGGAAAGAACACCTTTTTGTTTATCTGGTTAGCTGGCTTGTTCTTCCTTCTTATCAACTGTTCCATCCTAATTCAAATTATTTCCCATTACAAGGAGGGACCCCTGACAGAGAGACTCAAATATGACTAATATATGCTCCAGTTCTTCTGCCACTTCCATCTATTACATTCTGATTGTCCTGAATGGACCAAAGGAGAGCTTTGGAAAAATTTTGAACACCCTAAGGTGCTCTAGTGAAAGTTCAGTTTGGAGCATAATACCTGTTCCAACCAATTAAAATGAATGTTTGCCTTATGTATAAAGGGGACTCAGTACTTGGGATCCACTGTTTAGGAAATGGAAGGGCTGTTTGAAAATGGAAGGGCTGATGAAAACTGTTGGATGTTAAAAAGTTTTTGTAGAAAAAGACAGGAATATAGTCAGACACAAAGGTCTAAGCCAGTATTTGTTCCAGTTATACCAGGCTACTGTCAGAAGCAGTGTTTATCTTGTGAAAACTCACAAAATGTCCCTAAAGTACAACTTTTAGATATGGTGTTAAAGTTGGCAAGTTAATTGTTTATTAACAGTGGAGGCTTAGAAGATAAAGAATCCAAAAAATTTAAATTGTAATCATGTTTCAAGTACGGGTATTTGTTTTATAACAGTTTTTCAGCACTTTGTCCCAGTGGTATTAGATTACCATTTGGTTTTATACCAAAGGGATTAAATTTAAATTCACCCATTTTTAAACTTGCATTATTACACATCTTAAAATAGCATCTTGCTTTTGATGTTTGAAGTCTGCAAACTATTAGGACATTTGAGTGTTCTCGTGTACTCCTTTGTTTTTAATTTTCTGATTGTTAAAAAATATTTGTCATCGAGAATTTAAGTTAATTAAGTGTTATCTATATTGTAAAAATGAATATTGGTAGATTTTAGATAATTAAAAAACATTGTTAGCAAGACATTTCCCAGCTTAAAGTACCCCACTTATGAAAATTCTATGATAGAAATAGAGACCTGCGTGAGACAGGCTCCTGGAAAGTATAAGAAGCATCCTAAGTATCCATTAATCTTAGACCAGGGAATTGAGGGAGAGATTATGGAAATGAGGCTTTGCAGATTCATTTTTCTTATTACTCTAATATTTCTGGGAGAAAAATGCTTTCTGAGTTTCAAGCAAGCACCCTTAAAAAATTTTTTTTAACATAGCCCATTAGGTTGGGGATTCCCTAGCACTTAACCTGTGGTAGTAATATATGAGTTTGATTTTATGATTGTGATTTTAAAAGATGAGTATTTTGCCCAGCCTGGTGTAACTCAGCGGTTGAGCATCAACCTAGGATCCAGGAGATCGCAGTTCGATTTCCAGTCGGCACATGCCCGGGTTTCGGGTTCCATCACCAAACCGGGGGCGTGCAGGAGGCAGCCGATCAATGATGACTCTTTCGTCATTGATGTTTCCATCTCTCTCTCTCCCTCTCCTGTCCTCTCTCTGAAATCAGTAAAAGATATATTTAAAAAAAAAAAAAACTTAAAAAAATATATATTTTAACAACTTTGTTCTTTCACAGTAAAAAAACCCTCCAGAGTAATAGTATATTTTGTCAGGCCAGGCCTGAAAAAGCCTTTGAGAACAAGATATCTGTATGCAGTCATAAATAAGAATGCTATTACTTACTGGCAGCTTTTTGATAAGTATCTTTTTGGACCTGCCATCAGAAGAAAAGGAAGAATGTGTGGCTTTGCCTAGGTTGCTGTTTTTGTGAAAATAGCAGAGACAACTGAGGACAGTGACCTTTCTTATATCTAGCCTTATATCCCACATTAGGTATTATCTTGCAGTCACTTGGTATGTGAGTGCTTACTAGTGGCCTTCCAGCCATGTCATTCTTAAGTTTTTAAAAAATATTTTTATTGATTTCACAGAGGAAGGGAGGGGGAGAGAGATAGAAACATCAATGATGAGAGTCATTGATCGGCTGCCTCTTGCACAAGCCGCAGTGGGGATTGAGCCCAAAACCCAGGCATGTGCCCTTACCAGGAACTGAACCGTGAACTCCTGGTTCAGAGGTATACATTCAACTATTGAGCCACGCTGGCCGGGCTTAACTTTCTTTTCATTCTTTTGTAATAGTAATTAAAAATTTTTTTGGTAGAACTGTTCATACCTACATTGAAATTACAGGGAAGTTAACCTTGTAAGTGCATCATTCGTCTACTGTTAGACCTTTAAGATTGCTTTTAATTTTTAATATTCTAAATAAGACTTTAAACATTTTTCATGTTTTAGATCATTCCCTTAACATTCTTAGAAGTCAGTGGAATGCTGTTGGGGTCTTTGGAGGGAACGTCAATTCGAGAAATTCTCTATCAAAGAACTACAGGCATTTCTTAAAAGGTGCAAAGTATTTTGCAGCTTATATGCTGCAAAAAATTTAGTAAATTAACTCAATAAATTATTTTATTTGGTTTCTTGGTTTTTGTTTTTGTTTTCATTTTGTTTTCTGGTTTTGTAAAATCTTGGTGTCTTTTTATTTGCTTTTTTTTGGTTTTGTTTCTTTATTGGTCTTTAATCACACCTTAAAATTGTATAGCTCTTTGGCTTGTTTCCTACATAATTCTTTTTGTTTTTATACAACCCCTTAAGATCATAATTAAGCTAATATGCTTAATTATTAGCATATGAGGATTGCTTCTCAAGATAGTCTGTGTTCTAAACAGAGGGGACTACAGAACTTTTTCTGTAGTTGTCTTAATGTCTTCCAAATGTGGTCCCTAAATATACCTAGATAAATTCCTTGGTTTAGCTCCATTGGAAAGGCTAATACTACCCTATATCCCCACACAAAAGAATCTCTTAAAATCATAGATTTTAGTTACTGACTTCTCACCATCTGTCTAAATGACTATAAATGACATAACATTGTTTCACAAGTTTTGTAGGACTTGTCTTAGCTAATTGACTTTAGCTTAATATGGGATATATTGTTATTTCCCCATAAGCTCTTTCTGCAGACCATCCCCACTTCAACCATCTGTATGATGAGTGAAAAGGAAAAGATGGAAAATTTCACATGGGACAGTCTAAATGTAGCCACTTTTCCCCCCTCAATACTTTATTAGGAACTATTTTAAACATTACTCATATACCTACCATCTAAGTTCAACAATTAACATTTGTCATATTTGCTTTATTGACATATTATTTATATAATTTTTTCCTAAAAATTGTTTGCAAACATTATTCAACTGCACCACTGAATACATCAGCATTCATCTAGAAGTATTTTCTTACACATCTACAATATTATTAATATAATTTAACATCTTGTCCATTTTCAAATTTGTCCAATTTTGTGTCTAACTTTAAAGAACAGATATTCTTGGATCTCAGAGATCCCCTGAGAGAAAGCATGGTAGATAACACATAATGAAGAAGCTTGGATCTTCTTCAAACAGAAAACATAGGGTAGTAAACATCCCTAAGATGTTTTCCAGGTAAAAGTTTATATGTTTTGGCCCTGGCTGGGTTGCTCAGTTGGTTAGAGTGTTCTGTACACCGAAGGCTGCAGGTTCCATTCCCTGCCTGCGCACATACCTAGGTTGCTGGGCGTGGATGGGAGGCAATAGATCTATGTTTCTCACGTCGATGCTTCTCCCCTCTCCCCTTCTGCACTTTCTCTAAAATCAGTAAACATATCCTCAGGTGAGGATACAAAAAAAAGATACGTTTTGGATTCCTAATATCCCCCTCAACCCACCCCCTCTTGATGGAGAGTGTGGTGGCTTTTCGTGATTAACTGATTTGGGGTACCTATTCCGCCATATGTCGTTTCTTGTAATTTTCACAGCAGCACCTCTGAGTTGGTATTTACTTACTCCCCATTTTATAGATGAGTAAAGAAGCTCAAAGATTAAATGACGTACTAATAAGTGACAGGGCTAGAATTTGAAGTAAGTTTTCCATGATTAAATGCCATAGTCTTCACTGCATTATGTTTTGGGTTTTCCCAGAGTGCCCAGACCGGACCCAACACATGAAGATTGCTGCAGAATAAATGGAACTCAACACTAACTCTGATAAATGTCTTGCCAATCAATTTGTCCTAACCTTTTAGGTATTTGCTTGAGGGGCAGTTCTCTTGCAGTTGTGCAAAAATTTCTGTCATTCCTAAACTTTTCAATTATTCCAGACCTTTAATAACCTCCTCCCACATCCAAGCCCTCTCATCAAATTGTATAATTTCTTTGTTACTGCTGACTTCATAATGCCCTTTCCCTCTGTAGCCTGGTCTAAGAAGTTGATTTGCTGAACCACATGTTAGCCCAGCTATTTGTAAATCAAACTATGGCAATAATGTGGCCATAACTCCCAAAAGGTAAGTTCTCATTGTTAAATTTCCCCTGCTCTGCAGTGTGCGTTCGTAAGAGCTCACATTCAGATAGTGTGTGGCTTTGTGCAAGGTTCTTTTAGCTAGATAAATTTTCTACCTGAAATGGGGATGATAATATAATTCTCATAGAATTGTTTGTAAAAATTAAATGAGGTAATTTATTCAAAGTGCTTATGCTGATACGAAACAAGCTATTCCCCACTGCCTGCCCAGCTTTAACATCTGTTTTCAAGTCTTTAAAAAAGGAGCTCCTTTTTGAGTCTAGACTTAAGCCTCCCCCCACCCTAATGGATAAAGGTAAAGAACCTGGATTTATACTAAATAATTGTTTTAACTACTTGTTACTGTAAACTTTTTACTTCTAATCTTGATATCTGTTCTTTGAAACGGTAGCAGTTATACGTGAAAATGTACGTATAAGTTTATCAGATATCTGGCTCTGGCTTGACAATTTTGTGTTTGTGTATCCCTGCCATAAATTAACTGACTCTGATGAGTGGAGGTTTGGCACATGCCCCTAAGTTACACAGCGTTTCTTTTCTCCATTGTGTTCAGGGGTCAGTCAAGGATGGATGCTCTGTTGATAGAAGCACATGTCCTCTGCCTGGATCAGAATCATCAGAGTAGCACAAGCATTTATTCAGCACTGATCCAGGAGAATCACTCATTTAGTTAAAACAAGAATTCATATTCATTATCCTGAACAAAAACCACACTAAATGAGGATATTTCTAGCTGTTCGGGCACTTTGATAATTATGGCTGCTATATAAAATGTATTGACACTTATAGTGACTATTTAAAAATAAGAGTATGACTATTTGAAGCTCAGTGCATTTCACAAAGGGGATTTTCAACCTTTGTTGTCCATTGTTTTGGCAATTATTTATAGATCTAGACCCTGTGCCAAGTCTTGTAATAAATAACTAAGACCATGTCCATGCTCTTGAAGAATTAACACTAAAGACACAAACATACCTTATTAATAAAATGCTAGATGAGACCCGATTCCACAACAGTAATGTGGTTTGTAAAATGGCGAAGCAGAAAATAATACTCTTACTAGTTTTCAGGTTGGAAAATGGAGGCTCAGAAACAAGTGGCTTTCCAAGGGCAAATACCTTGTTAATGGCAAGAGTAGGCCTTCTAATTCTACTGTACTTTGCAATTCCTTAATTCCATATGACGACAGGTGATTACAGTGAAAAACATTTACCAAATGTTGTTTAGGAAACTACCTTGCAAAAGGCTGTATCTTCTATGTGCCAGGCACTGTCCTAGGTATTGTGGATGCAGCTGTGAGGCACACTCTTTTCATGGAGCTTACATTTTTATGGGACATGAAGGATAAGCAGATACATGGTTGTGATGATTGTCATAAAGAAAACCTAAGGCAAGCTAAGGAAGCAGAAAGTGATGGCAGGAGAGGAGTGGGTGCTGTTTTAGATAACTTATTTAGGGAAGGCATCTTATGGTGTCATTTGAGCAGAGACCTGAAATAAGGGAGGATAAGCTATTCACGCAGCTCTCTGGGGGAAGAGTGTTCCTTGCTGAGTGAAAAGCAGTGCAAAGGCACCGAGAGAGGAATGAGCTTGGCGTATTTAAGATACAGCGAGAAGGTGAGTATAATGGACTGGAGTGAGCAAGGAGCAACAGAATGTAACTCACAGCATCCAGCGGAACCACATGAGTGCTTGTTGAAAAATACATTTACATTAGCGTTTCTACCAGCCTGTGATAACAATAACTTTGGACTCAACCTATTTCCCCCCCCTGATCTTTGAGCACAGGTTCCTTCGTAAGGAAGATGAAACATATATAAACAACTTATGTTTGAGCAGTGCTACAAAGTACTTTCGCACCTCATTTTGAGACATGTAGAATCTTTAAAATTCTGTTTTTATAGATGAGAACCATAAGTCTCAGAATATATGCATTTTGCCCGAGGTCAGAGTTAGTACATGAGACAGTTACAGAACCCAGAT